CTTAAGCTTGAATTGTATCCCCCAAGTTTTATGTATTAGAAATTTAGCCCCCACTGTGACTGTTAAGAGGGTGGGAAATCCTATTATGGTAATTGAGGGGTGGGGCCTTGAAGGGGTGGTTGGATTGTAGGACCATGCAGTAGTGAATGGATTAATAATGGTGGTCAGGGGTGTGGTTCTGAGGGCTTTAAAAGAAGAGGAAGTTCTGTTTCTCTCTCTCTCTCTGCTCTCTCTGCTTCCATCATCTTGCAGTTTGAGACCCCTGGGTCACTGTTGCCACCACCAGATGGACTTTGGACTTCCCAACCTCACAAATTGTAAGCAATAAATTTTGTTTTCTTTGTACATCACCCAGTTGCAGGTATTTTGTTATAAACAAAAAAATGGACTAATACAGGCCCTTTCTCAAAAAACGAAAAATAGAACTACCATATGATTCAGCAATACCACTTCTGGGTATATATCCAAAGGGAATGACATCGGCATGTTGAAAATATATCTGCTCTCTCACCTTCAGTGTAGCATTTTCACAGTAGGCAAGGTATGGAAACAACTAAATGTCCATCAAAGGATGAATGGATAAAGACAGTGTGGCATAAATACACAATGGAATACTATTTAGCATTAAAAAAGAAATGGGTTTTGCTAGAATTATTTGCCATATTTACAAGAGGTTCTTGTTGTCTTAGTATTACTTGTGAAAAAGATATTTAAATGAATTCATAAATATGGGTACCAGAAATTTATAATACAGTAGTGCCCCCTTATTTGTGGTTTTGCTTTCTGTGGTTTCAGTTACCCGTGGTCAACTGTGGTCCAAAAATAGGGAAATAAAGTACAGTATGTTATTTTCAGAGAGAGAAAGAGTGAGAGAGCAAGCACACATTTACATAACTTTTATTATAATACGTTATAATTCTTCGATTTTATTATTATTGTTAAGCTCTTACTGTGTCTAATTTATAAATTAAACTTTATCATAGGTATGTGTGCATAGGAAAAAACATAGTATAAATAAGAGTTGATACTGTCCAGTTTCAGGCATCCACTGGGGCTAATGGAAGGTATTCACTAAGGATGCTGGTGGTCTACTGTAAGTAGTGAAAAAAGTTTGTTATTTAATTTTGAAAAATAAACTCAAAAGTAAGTATATTTCATTTTAACTTGATTTATTCCATAATTATAATTATGTATTAATTATTAAAATGTACAAAGACACAAACTACAAAAACTCACTCAAGATATAATAGATAACCTGGATAGTCTTCTACATTAAGGAATTTAAATTTGTAGTTTTAAACCTTCCCAGAAAGAAAGCTCCAGGACCATAGAGCTTCGTGTATGAATTCTACCAAACATTTATGGAAGAAAAAGTGCCAATTCTAGACAACCTCTTCTGGAAATTTGAAGAGGATGGAATATTTGCCAACTCATTCTGTGAGACCAGCATAATCCTGATATCAAAATCATACAAAGACATTACAAGAAAAAAAAAAAACTGCAAATACCTTTCATGCACATAGATGCAAAAATATTGACAAACTTTTAGATGAAATCCACAGTATCTGGAAATGATAGATACATCATGACCAAGTGGAGTTTATCCTGGGAATGCGAGGTTGGTTTAACATTTAAAAACCAATCAAGGTAATTCATCATATTAACAGACTAACATCAAAAAACCCATATAATCATCTCAGTAGATGCAGAAAAAGCATTTGAAAATATCCTTTCATCAAATTAGGAATATAACTGAATTATAGAACTAAATGTATAATCTGAACTCATAAAACTTCTAGAAGGAAATATTGGAGAAAACATTTGTGACCTTGAGTTAGGCAAAGATTTCTTATATACAATACCCAAAGCATGATCCATAAAAGGAAAAATCAATAAACTGAAGTACATAAAAATTAAGAATTGTTGTTCCAAAGACACAATTCCAAGAGATTGAAAAGGCAAAGAAGCACTGCCTGGGAAAAAATATTTCAGATTATATATCTGATAAAGGACTTGAATCTAGGCTATATAAAGAACTCTTAAAACTTAAAAAACATGAAAACAACCTATTAAGCAATGGGCAGAAGATTAAATTATGCAATTTACCAGAGAAGATGGCAGATAGCAAATAAGCACATGAAAAGATGCTCAACATCACTATTCATTAAGGGAATGCAAATTAAAAGCACAAAGACATACCACCATATGTCCACTAAAATGTCTAAAATTTAAATGAGTTATCATCTCAAGTGATGGCAAGAATATGGAATAAATAGAACTCTTTTGTACTGCTTGTGGGAATGTAAAACGGGAAAACAGTTTGACAATTTCTTACAAATTTAAACATACACCCACCATATGACCCAGCCATTTCACTCCTAGGCATTTGCTCAAAAGAAATGAAAGCATGTGTGCATACAACTTGTACATGAATGTTTATAACAGCTTTATCTGTCATGGCTAGACACTGGCAGCCACCCAAATATCCACCAACAATTAAATAGATAAATATTGGCATATCCTTACAATGGAACACTACTCAGCAATAAAAAAGAAATGAACTATTGATACATGCAATAATATAAGTTAATCTTAAAATAATTATGCAGAATGAAAGTAGCTGGAAAAGAGTATGTAGTGTATGATTCTATTTTTATAAAATTTTTTATAATCCAAAGTAATATATAGTGACAGAAACTAGATCAGTGGTTGCCTGGGGATAGGGGTGAGGGTCTATCAGAGATAGATGGAATGATGAGATTACAGTGGGGCACCTGGAAACTTTTGGGCATCATAGATATGTTCATTTTCTTGATTGTGGTGATAGTTTCTCAGGTATGTACATATATTAAAATTTTTCAAAAGGCACATTTTATGCGTAGTTGATTGTATGTCAGTTAATACTCAATAAATCCATTACAAAAACAGGACAGTAGAGCAAAATTGATATACTGAAATTACCATGACCTTTTATGTCTTGAAAGCTATTAAAATTTTGTGAAGAGTAGACAAAATTAGAATCAAAAGTAGAGTTTACCTATAACGTCCAGTTGTAATTAATTGTAGTGTCTAACCAATTTGTTCCGTTTATTATTTACTCAGAAATTATGATTGCTATTAAAATACACTTTTGTTTTAAACTGAAGAATTTGTTTTCAAACATGGTCATGCACAAGAATCACCTGTGGGAAATTATTAGACATGCAGATTCCCACGGTTGACCCCCCTAGGGATTCTGAATTGTAGGTGTGGTTGTGGAATCTGAGATTCTGCAAGTTCGGCAAGCTTCCTGGACAATTTTTGATGTATGTATGTATGCATAGACCACACTTGGGAATTGCTCCTTAGCAGAACATTGTACACATTAAAATTGTGTGAATGCAGATGGATGCTATGGACCAGACTGGTGCCAGACTGAAATGGAGTATTCTTGATCTGGTTCTACTTATATGTACACAAACCTATTAGAGAAGGCAGCTGACCAATCTGGAAGGGTCAGCAGTTTGCATTTTGTGTGTTGGCTGACATTCATTAGAAAATCGAAAGTGTACAGGTACTACTAGAATTAAGGTGCTGTAAGGACTTCCTTTCCCCCATTTTCTTCTGCTTCTGACTCTACCTCCTTTTCCTCTTCTTCACAGTATATATTGACTTACCTTTGGTGTTTCGGGTAGTAATCATGATTTCATCAGGCCTTTCAATAGTGAAAAACGGGCAGTGGGAGAAGGAACCATCTTCTGCTTTATCAGATACCACTGAATACACAGTAAGAACAACCTAATTCACCACTTCTAAGTTTGACATCATGAAGAAAAGCCTTCCTATAATGCATTTCTTCGTGCCTTTCCAGAGATAGTTTATGTCATCTATGAAATATAGCACTTTTGCCTTACATATCTGTCAACTGCCAGAAAGTAATATTCTGTGTGAAGTTTTTTCATTAGAAATGATGCCATGGTAGGAGGATTAACTGAGCCATCTCTTTACTGACCTGATCCCCACCATAACCAATCATAAGTGTGTCAAGGTTGATAGCTGTTGTGAGGGAGTTAGCCTGGAGCTGTGGAATAAAATTTTTCCTTGAGTAAGCTCAAGGAGTTGTATAGTATGGAGCTCATGACTTCAGGGTCAGGATATGCTAACCAAGAGCAAACTGATTTAGCCTTAGGGTCACAAGACTGTGGGGCTACATATGTACAAAATCGAGGCCATCTTTGAAGATGGATATCAGTTTAAACTAGGCTGTGCTGATCTACCTCTTTAGAAAAAACAGCAGAGCTTTTAATATAGCCAGTGTTACAGTCCATATCTTGAGTATGTATTTGATAATTCGTATATATACTCGTGTATATACATGTATGTAGATGTGAAAGTTACGCATAATTGTATGGTATAGATAGTATCTTAGCCCTGTATGGGCTTCTGCAACAGAATACCATAGACTGGGTGGCTTATAAACAACAGAACTTTATTCCTCACAGCTCTGCAGGCTGGGAAGCCCAAGATCAAGGTGCTGGAAAACTCAGCATCTGGTGAGGGCCCACTTCTTGGTTCATAGATGGCATCTTCTTCTTGTGTCCTCACATGGTAGGAGGGGCAAGGGAGTTCTCTGCAGTCTCTTGTCAAGGCACTAATCTCATTTGAGAGGGTCCGCCCTTACGGTTTAATCACCTACCAAAGCCCCCACCTCCTAATATCATAACATTGGGGGTTAGGATTTCAAGATATGAATTTTGGGGGGATATAAACATTCAGTCTGTAGCAGATAGACTATAATGTACAACTAAAAAGCAGAGTTGGAACCCTTCACAAAAATTATAAATGTATTTATGAACCTGAAGAATGGGTGTCAAACATAATTGGAAAAAAAAATCAAGTTTTGTGTGCTTACTAGGAGAATCACAGATGTTTTCTTCATTCTTGTACCTTAAATTTATGCAGTTGCATGTTTCTTATTGTCTTCTTACTATTACATTTATTGTTTTGTTTTCCATAGACATGAAGCCATTATTATCTCAGGAACTGAAATGGCCAAACAAATCCAGAAAGAAATACAGCAAAGTGTGGAATCATGGATTTCCCTTGGGAACAGAAGACCTCACCTCAGTATCATTTTAGTGGGAGATAACCCAGCAAGCCATACATATGTCAGGAATAAGATAAGAGCTGCCTCTGCTGTAGGTAGGTATGGTTTTTACTTGCAATTGTTACTAAATATGTTTTTTGTTTTTACTTCAAAGTGTGGTAATTATGAGTGATAATTATCAAATAAGTGCCATATGAGTAACATGTATTATTATTATTGGAGATTATTCAATTACCAAAATTTAAGTTAATTTCTTACTGTTTTCCTTCAAATTTCTTATAGAATAATTGTTTGATTTCATATCCTATGGTGACATATGAGAGGGATACTTTACATTTAAAGGACCTGTTTTTTATTATATTTGCTTTAATCAGGTAATAAACCTGGCTAGTTCACTCTGTTGAACTTGGCCTAATAGTGTTGGCGGCAGTGGTATTTTTACTCTGTTCAAATGTACTGGTAGTAGCTTATCACAAATAAGTGAAAGTTGTCACATGAAATACTGGGCCAAACAATGCATGTAAATCATGAGAAAACACCTGTACTATATGAAGAATCCCTCCTGATGGTGCTGTTAATATCATCTTTGTAGAAAGGCCTTTCCTCCCAGGGGACAGGAGCATAGGAAACCAACAACACATTCTTTAAGACACTGTTAATAAAAAACCACATCTTGGTTAGTCAAGTGACTTTCTCTGCTTGTTTTCTTTTAGGTATCTGTACTGAGCTCATTCTAAAACCTAAGGATGTTTCTCAGGAAGAACTTTTGGATATAACTGGTCAATTGAACATGGACCCAAGAGTCAGTGGTATATTAGTTCAGTTACCACTGCCAGGTACATAACGGTCTTCTGTATATCTGATTTGTTTAGGAGAAAGGGCATCTTTTAACATTATATTGTGACACTGCACATAACTTATAAAATACATTTACAAGGAGGCTAATTATTATACTAATACTAGATGTAATAGGTGATGATTTCTGAATTATTTATGCTTACAGTAATGGAAAACTATGAAGAAAAATTTAGGCATTGGCAATACATGCCCCCTTTTTTTGGCCCAGTAGTGCAGGACCATAAAAATGACTATGCAAATTGAAACTGGGCAAAGCGATCTTAGTAATCAATGGGAAAATTAACAGTTTTTCTGTGATGTTTAAAAATTTTTGTCAAAGCACTAAAAACTCTCCTACTGTGGTTTATAAATGTACAGGGAAATGAAAAAATCGTAAAACTAAAATTTATTCAGTACACTGTATTTTAAAACATTAGAAACTTTGAGAATTATAGGTGTTTGATATCTTTGCAAAAAACTTGTCAAAAGTAGTTGGAGCAATGCTTGCCTTATTTATAACATGATGTGGAACGAGCATCTTTTCTATGCCTTGCTGAATTGAATTATCATATTCATTTCTAAGTTTGGATCAGCTTCCAACATTGTATCCTTTGTACCTTTAATGTCATGAAGTATCTCTGAGATTTCCTTTAATGGGAAGTTTTATGCTGGTGTCACTTCCTCTGGGACACTGTGGTCCTTTCTGTCACAATCACTTTCCTCATTTATCTGGACCAGTTCAATTTCACTGAGTTCCTCTGGCTACATGGCTACCTCTCTCCAACGGGTGTAGGGCCAACATTCCACAGCTGGTGATTTTTTTGTATAACTCCATTTGCATTCAGTTAGAATCCTGTTGAGGCAACTTACCTTGTTTTTATGTTTTTCAGACTTTTTCAACATAGTTCTTACCTTCACTTCATGCGGGTCTAGTTTTCTCCTGTCTTTACATCCAGTTTCACTTCCAGCATTATCATGTTTTTTTCCTTTGCTGTACTTTCATCTTTATAGGCTACTCTTGACTCTGTCAATTATCCACTTTTATAAAATGTCATGTGGGTTTGACATGGAGACAACTCACTTTCCTCCCTCTGTTTAAACTGAATAACAAATGTGCAGTGACCAATCATCAGCAGACTTCAAAAGAAGTGCTATGATTGGTCTTTGATCATCATGCTCATCTGTTATTTCCATGGTGATTTGTGGACTGAAGAGTCAGCCTCATTTGTATAATCACTCACAGTTAATATAGCATGATAACTAAAATCTGAACTGTGTTGTTGGAGGACTGGTATGATTTAACTAAACTTTGGTTCTGATATTCATGCATATTTGAACTGTGCAAAGTGAGGACTGCTGATAATTAGAGTAGTTTTGTGAAGTTTTGAATTCTGTAACTTTTGACCAACTGTAATATAATGTGCAGAAAGTAAAGCTTTATGATGCTATTACATGGGATTTTTATATGGCATTAATATTTTCCTCTGTTTAATGATATAAGTTAATATCTTAGTATATGTTATAGCTTTTATGCTGTTTAAATTATACCAAAATTCATACTTCCAATTCTTTTCCTTCAATATTGCTCTACTGGTAACAAAATCATCAAGTTGGAAAGGATCTTAGAAGTTATCAGTTTCCCCCTGAGAAAAATGCGCTGACAGAAAATAATATAGATTCATCATGTTGAAATTAGTGTAAGGATACATCATTTACTTTTAAAACTAGAAAAAGAATTCAACATGCAATATTCTTATTTCATGTCATAGGAAAATGAAGTCTAGAGAAGATCGGTAGTTTACTAACATCACAGATGTGTGTAAAAATTTTTGCAGAGTTTGTCAGTCATTTGGCTCATGAAAAAAAGAATCTTTTTGCTACTGTATTTGCCAATTTTCTTATAGTTTGCAGTTTTTGAAATTTTCCCCACTTACATTTATACAATATTCAAAAAAGTTACATAAAACATGTCACAATATTAATTCTTAAAATGTCCATACTGAAGTGATCTACAGATTCAGTGTAATTTCTATCAAAGTTCTAATGGTGCTTTTTCACAGAAATAGAAAAAAAAATCCTAAAATTCAGATGAAACCACAAAAGACCCCAAGCAGCCAACAAAATCCTAAGCAAAAAGAACAAAGTTGGAAATATCACACTACCAGATATGACAATTTACTACAAAACAGCATGGTACTGACACAAATATAGACATTTAGACCAATGGAATAGAATAGAGAGCCCAGAAATAAATCCATGCATTTAAGGTCAACTGATCTTTGATAAAGGTGCAAAAACCACACATGGACAAAGGACAGTTTCTTCAATAAATGATGCTGGGAAAACTGGGTATGCACATGTGGAAGAATGAAATTAGACCCTTATCTCAGCCCATATACAGAAATCAACTCAAAATGGATTAAAAACTTAAATGTAGGCCTGAAACTGTAAAACTCCTAGAGGAAAACGTAAGGGAAAACCTTCTTGACATTGGTTTGGGCAATGATATGATTCCAAAAGTACAGGCAACAAAAGCGAAAATAGACAAATGGGATTGCATCCAACCAAAAAGCTTCTGCACAACAAAGGAAACAATCAGCAAAATGAAAAGGCAGCCTATGGATTGGGAGAAAATATTTGCATGCCATATATCTGATAAGAGGTTAATATTCTGTTGCTTTGCCTTGCACAGATTTATCACCTCTCTTCCCCTGGGTGATGGAGCCACAGAAGGATTACTCAAAGCCCATCTCTTCTGAGCAGTGAGAGACCCTGAAGGGGTTAATCTCCTGGAACCCTCAAAAGAGAGGCATTCCTTCCTTGGGAGATTAACTATGAATTGGGGTTCTCTCCCCACATTTATTTTCCAGACCAGGAAGTTACAGAAGAAGAACGTAGGTGGGGTAATAGTTTAACAACAGAGGCTGTTGGCAAGCAAAGTGACATTTCATAATGCAATTTGCAAAAGGTTAAGTCGATCCACCAGCAAAAGCTTGATCTTAGCAAACATTGTTTTTCCCTACAGCAATTTCCCTGTATCTTTACATATCAATCAGTAACTTGTCTGTCCTTGAGCCAGCAACCTTGCTGTGTTACAATTCTTTATCTTACAACAGAGACTTTTAGCCTGGGGAAAGTTTCCTGTCTTTTGCAAGGTTAACATTTTATACGTACTTTTAAGAAGTTAGGCTAAACCTGAAACTACAGGGAATTAGACCCTATGAAATATATTTGCTTTATAAATGTAAGTATACTCCACAATATTCAAAATATGTAAGGAACTCAGACAACTCACTAGCAAGAAAATAAATAACTTGATTAAACATAGGCAAAGGGCCTGAAAAGACATTTCTCAAAGACATATGAATGTCCAACAGATATATATGAAAAATGCTCAACATCACTAATCATCAGGGAAAGGCAAATTAAAACCACAATTAGATGTCACCTCATATCTGTTAGGGTGGCTGTTATTAAGATAACAAAAGTTAAGTGTTGGTGAGGATGTGGAGAAAAGTGACTTTGTGCATCCTTGTTGGGAATGTAAATTGGTATGCCATTATGGAAAACAGTATGAAGGCTTCTCAAAAAATTAAAAATAAAACTACCATATGATCCAGCAATCCCACTTCTGGATATATATCCAGGAAGAAATCCTGTCATTTGCAACAATATGGGTAAACCTGGAATACATTATGCTAAGTGAAATAAGCCAGGCACAGAAAGACAAATACTGCATGATCTCATTTATATAAGGAATCTAAAAAAGTCAAACTCCTAGAAACATAGAGTAGACTGGTGGTTACAATGGGGCGAGGACTGGGGTGGGTGGGAGTTGTGGAGATGTTGGTCAAAGGATACAAAATTTCAGTTAGGATGAAATAAGATCTACTGTATAATGTGGTGACTATAGTTTATAACACATTGTATACTTGCCAGTTGCCAAGAAAGTAGAATTTAAATGTTCTTACCACAAAAAAATAACTGATATTTTGGATATGTTCATTAACTTGATTTAGCCGTTCCACAATGTTTACATATATCAAGATATCATTTTGTATACCAAAAATATATTCATTTATTAAGTTTTTTTTTAAATTTCAGTTTTCCAACTACATTATATTTGGTTTGTCATAGATTTTTAACTATATTATATTTAGTTTGTCTTAATGAAATCGAATTTATATATGTAGAAATTTTACCCCTTTATGAGCAACATTCCTCATTTGGTGTATTTATTAGCAATTTGCCACTAGATGTCGCTGGTGCCCTGTCTGGACTAGAGACTAAATTGCTTGAGTTCTGTGTTCATTTCAGTAAGAAGCATAGAGCCAAAGAGACCATGGTGATAAAAAATATCTGAAGGCTCTGAGAAACGGCAGTTTCCTATCTGGCCGAAAAGCTAATAATATATAAAATAGTAGTGGCTAATACTGATTACATTGATGTGTCAGCCCTTTACATTTATTAACTCATCGAATCCTCACAGTAATCCTGTTGGATCTATTTATTATTACGTATATTTTACCGATGAGGAATTTGAGGTGCAGAGAGGTGAAGTAACTTCCCCCAAGGTCACAGAGCTGCTAAGTAATTGAACTGGAATTTGAATCCAGGCAGACAGGTCCTGCATGCCAATACTCTTAACCATTATATTAGCACCCTCATCAGCATATTAATGTTAACTAGTGAGTAATGCATGCATACTATGTGGCAGGTTCTCCTTTATATGAATTATTTTATTTACTTCTCAAAACATCCTTATATGGTAAGAATTTTCTTCATTCTACAGATAAGGAGATTGAGGCACAGAGAAGTTAAGTGAATTTACCAATATTACTTGTTAATAAATGGTAGAGCCAAGACCCAAACCCAGGCTGTCTGGTTCCAGAGGCTGCCATTTAACTTCATGTTACATTATACTGTGTCTCAGAGCATTATAAGGCATAACACAAGCACATGCATTTCAGAAGTTCACATACAAGTTCCTTGTGCATGT